CCTTCATCAGCACCCACCAGAAAGAAGGGGACCAAATGGATGCACGGTAACATTACAGACGGGTGGCTGGTTTGCAAGCCACCAAAATGTCCAAAGGGGCTGAGTGTGCTGGCGCAGGTTTGTGTTGCGTTACGCAGGGTCTTGTGGGGTGGATTGTGTAACCTTTACCCAAGCGAGGGAGTGCTTCCCAAAGTGAGTAAGCTCATTGCTGTCAGGTGGCCTGCTCAGATGAGTAAGAGCCCACCCACGGGTGCATAATCTAGCTCTCTGCAGGCCAGTACATAAAACAATACAACCCAGAAGGAAATAACCCCCAGTAAAAGGAAGGCAGGTGAAAGCTGTAATGTGAATACAAAAGATCGCCAGAGGCACTCCAGAGAACAAACCGAATTTTCCATTAACCCGCCAGCGTACACAGGGCTGAATTTCAAATGGCTTTTCTGGTGTCGCACTCAAACTTTATTACCTGACTTCTATTTGCTGTCTTGAGAGATCTTATCTGTAACTGCTTTTAAATTGACATGTGACTTCAGAGAACAAGCCTTCCAGTGTTCAGTCCCTGGAAAAGCCCCCCGCCGCCGCACACGCGCGTACACCCACCTCTGTGTTGTTCAGAAGTTCCGTTTGAGCGGATGAGATCAGCGTTTCGGCCCCAATTCAGGCAGCCCGTCCCTATTCAGGGCAGCGCTTGAGAACATGCTTGTCTTTAAGTGCACGTTTACGTTCCATTGAGGTCAACTTGAAATTTAGGAGCGGTGTCCCTCATTGAAGCCATTGGAACCTGAGCCTGGTTTTGGGGGCTGTCCTGAATAGGAAAGGAATTAAGCCTGCACTCAGATGGCTTTCTGAATTGGGGCCATCATCTCTGGCTCTTTCAAGGCGTGTTTCTAGAAATGGGGCCCCGATCCCTTCATGGGGCCCTTCAGGGCTACTGCAACAAATAATAATGTCAGATTACCTTCGCATCTCTGTAGTGTATTCGATATGGGTCCTATCCTGACTGGTGCTGAATAACCACAGTGTACCCAGGAGTCCGGGAACTGCAGCTACTCAGCCCCCTTGAGGCGTGAGTGCTTTACACAAAGTAAATAATCCAGTCCCTGCGGGGTATGTTCACTTCTCAGTGCACCAGGGTAACACCTGTTAGTGCCGGTAGGAGTGCCACAGGCTTCAAGCATCGGTTATACCGAAGCCCATTTGAAAGGCAATTTGGGGTTCTGGATGGCTCAGGGGATTGTTAATGGTCTATGTGGTCTTTCACCTCTAGGTCACCTGCTTGAGGCCAGGCCAGGCCAGGACTTGTTACCATAAGAAAGGTGTTTGATGCCCTATGTGGAATGGGTTCGTTGACTGCTGTCCACATCACAGTGAGTTGCCGCTGCTCTGGCTAATGGGCATCCTTGATGCCAGTCTCATTCTGGAGGTGAACCCCTGGGGAAGGTATGTAGGTTGCTCTTCCCGCGTGAGGTCTGGGCTCTGCATGGTGAGGGGGAAGCACACCCGTGGAACCCCGTGGAGGAATCTCGCACTGCTGCCACCTCTAGTACTATACCTGTTGTGTGGACTAGGGGAAAGGCAAATCTTCCCAGTGGCATTACGGCCCAGAGTCAGCAAAGCACTCGAGACATGCCTAGCTGTAAACGTGAGAAATCCCATCCACATTGAACAAGGCACCAAAGTACGTGCTTAAGTCAAGGCCTTGAAGTTAAGCAGGCACTTAAATACATTGGTGCTCTGGGGCTTAATTTCTCACAGTGGTTTTATTATTTGCATTGTGGTCGTGCCTGGAGACCCCAGTCCAGGATCAAGGCCCTCTTGGGCTGGGCACCCTACACATGTGTGATAAGACAGTCCCTGCTTTACAATCTGAGCATATGGTACGACAAATCGGGGGGCCCGGGGAGGACGATCATGTGATCACGATTGGGGAATAAGCACCAGTCTCAGCTTACGACAATGTGGTGCTTGGTGGCAGCTCCTCCCGTGCATAAGGGGCAGCATGGGAGAAAGCCCAAAGAGACTTGATGGATGGGTGCTAACGGCTAGTGCCGCTGGCACAGAAGAAGCAGCATCTGGCTGCAAGTTAGAGTTGACAGGCAGTGAAGCCAAGCCAGGGAGAGCCCTAAAAGTAAAGGCAAGAAATTTGTGTCTGTGATGAAGGAGGAGCCAGTGGAAGGATGCAATGAGGGGGGATTAATTGGAAGATAACATCAATATCTGATTGGTTCATTGTGTCCCCATCACACAACTGCCATATCCTTTTGCGCGGTGTGATACGAGCAGCTCAGGGAGATGCTGCAGGTTAGGAGCTAGGCGTGTTGGCAGAGTTCTGTGAAAGGCGCTTGCATAATGCGTTCCTGCACTAGTGCTGCCTCAGGTCTATACGTTTGTCCTGGATTTTCATGATCTCTAATGCCCCAGCTCAGCAAGCTACCAGAGCACCTACCCAACTTTCACCACTCTTATCTGGTCTCGCTGGTGTTTCCAGGTTTTGATGGAGAACTTTGTGGAAGTCACGGAGATTTGTCTCATGAGCTCTCCTACTTTAACCCAAAGGCCAGGAGAGTTTAACTTTTGTTTTAAAAAAAAAAATCACTTCTCCCCAGCGATGATGAGACATTGGCGTTAGCAAAAACAAAGTTTTCAACTATCTGACTTTAAAATCCCTTTCCCTGTCACTGTTCAGCTTTCAGTCTCTAACTTCCCTAGCTCTCCAGTCACCATAGAGTCCCCCAGAGCAGACAAGATCTGGATTTATGATGCTAAAAAAAACACAAGTTTTTTTGCACAGAAACACTTCAGGTTTTCTCTTTATATCATACAGAAGGAAAATGAGCACAAAGCCCATTTTATTTCCCTGTGCAGGCCACCTTCAAATACCTTTCCTAGTGTTTTGCAGGCAACAGCAAAACATTCTGTTTGGTGAAATGTTCCATTTTTACACCATACCTGTTTGCCAAATCCAGCTACACCTCTACCCCGATATAACGCTGTCCTCGGGAGCCAAAAAATCTTACCGTGTTATAGGTGAAAACGCATTATATCGAACTTGCTTTGATCCGCCGGAGTGTGCAGCCCCGCCCCCCCGGAGCACTGCTTTACCGCGTTATATCCGAATTCGTGTTATATCGGGTCGCATTATATTGGAGTAGAGGTGTATTTGCACACCACATGGAGTTCCATATTCTGGTCTTTACAGAGTAATTGCTCCAGCTTATACACTACACACACGTTTTTGTCCACTCATTTAAAAAAAACCACAACACCCCAGCTTTTGGTGTGCGCAATAAAATATACCCCTCCACCCCAATGGCCCTGTTATGTGCACATGGGATCCTGGTGATGGTATGTGGATGAAGGATGTGCTCGTATACACCGTGTTTGTCAGCTGCTTGATCACATACAGTTCTGAAAAATCTGGCCCTGTGCTCACTAGAGGGAGTGTAACTGTCCTGTGATCTAAATGCCTAACTCTTGGGTACCTGCCCATCCCTTTGAGGATGGCCCAATAGCTAGGGGACCAACCAGGGACTCAAGGAGAGCTGAGTCCAATTCCTGCTCTTCTGCAGACTCCTTGAGTGACCTCACTTTGGACGAGTCATTTAGTCCTTCTGTGCCTCAGTTCTCCATCTGTAAAATGGGGGTGTTAGCACTGCCCTACCTCACTGGGTTGCTGTGAGGACTGAAGGTTGTTAGTTGCTTAGGCACGAGGGTAATGGGAGCCAGAGGTAGATAAGTTCACAGCTTTGCCCCCAGGCACTGCACATGAGTGGAGAACGCTGTGTATATTAATCAGACAGATCATTCATGGGCGCCTCCCACCCCCAGTGCTGAGATGAGAACTGCAATGCTACAGCCCTGTGTCCCTGGACCCCAGCATGCACAGAGTGCTGCTCTCCCATTTCCCACACATACAAAGAACCACGGCCACAAACAACTCTACCCCCATCTACAATTTCCCTCTTTTCAGACAAGAGCCTACGAGCGGCCGAGTTCCTCCCGTGCGGTACTGCTCACTCTGAGCTCCCGCTGAATCAATAGGAGTGGAAGGCACTCAGCACCTTGCCATGTGAGGTCTCTCGTCTCATGTCAGCCTCCTCTCTGCTCCTTCCCACAGTCTTGCTGGGGTTGGCAGGGGAGCTTTCTTCTCTGCCTCTCCTGTCATCTGGAGCACTCTCCCTGTAGTCCCCTCACATCTTCCTCTCTCCATCAGAGCCCTGATGGAGACATTTCTTTTCTCCCTGAGCCATCGTTTAAATCCCCTCTCTCTCTGGTTTTATTTAACTCTACGGCTTCCCTATTCCACACTGCAAAGACCTTTGGGATTCCTTGTGGGTACAGAAGGTGTTGTCTAAACTAAACTTACACTGTAAGTCGCTGAATCTGACACAGGGTGCTGCATGAAGTTACATGACATAACAGAGAGTGCTTTTCTTTACACATCTCCACCACATGCTAGCTGGCTCCTCTTTGGCAGGCTTAAACTCAGCAGCTGTACCTGAGAGCCTCTGAGCTGCGTGGGCAGTGACCAGAAAAACCCCATCTACTTCCTCTGTAGCCATTTTACAGAGGCCATTCAGGCGGGGGCAATATCCCCGAGAGAGAGGTGTTGTTTTTGTTTTTACCTAACACATTGTAGCAGGAACAGAATGTACCTGGTTAGGCTGCAGGGGAAACATAACTCCACATTCTCCCACTGATCTGTCCTTGGGACTTAATCTCCAATCTGTTATCGCAGCCCCGATCAAGCACTGGGAGTCAGCGATTCGGGTAACAGGCATTTTGATACCCCCTCAGGCTATTCTTTTCCACGACCAGCTCCGGGTGGTTCAAGCCAATTAGTTTTCCCCATGAGTAATTGATTAAGTGGCGGCCAGTTGGTTCGTTCTGGTTTCGCTGTGTATAAAGTCTCCATATGCGCCTGTGTGCCGCCTATAGTATCACAGCCTCTCCATCGCTTGACCAAGAGGGACCCAGGCAGAGAGAAGAGCAGGGATAAAATGGCGGAGTTGCCAGCCACAGAATTAACTGACTTGGCCCATGCCAATGGCAGGTTCACCATTAGCACCCTGATCAGCACCGAGGACAGCAGCAAACCTCACTATGGACAGCCTGATGCTGCCACCTGTGAGGCTACCCATCCCAGCCACCTCACCCACGGCAGCACTTTCTACATGAGGACCTTTGGCTACAACACAGTGGATGTTGTGCCGACTTATGAACATTATGCCAACACGAAGGTGGCGGGTGAAACCAATAAAGTTAGGCCCACGCTGGCAGAGCTACATTCTTTCTTGAAGGTAAGCTATGTAGAAGGACTGTCTCTAGCATCGATTTACTTGAGCAATGCTGTAGTTTGTGTGTAGCAAATACTCTTTCTGTACCTTATCTCTGTCCCTGCAGAAGAAACATAGACTTTGAAATGAGCCTTCTGCAAACACGGGTCATAGAAAGATTCGCTGAATAACTGTGAACCATGGGTGGAAATCGAGATCTGTTCTTAATCTATTTACTAACAAGCAACAAAGGTGAAATCTGATGCTTTAGGTCACTGCAAATGGTTCTCCAGCTCTATTGCGGGCAACCAACAACTTCTGAGTGCTGAGTGCCCTGTTTCCACCAGGAGAAAATGTTGGCCGTTGAGACTTAAATATCAGGCAGATGGATCAGCTCATGACTCCATCTGCTTATGTCACCATCCTGAGAGGTCAGAGGTAAATCACACAGGCGTATAGGATGAATATTGCTGTAAAATGCATATTCCCAAACTGAACATAAAACAAAGGTGTGGTAGGATTGTAACCTAACTACCCTCATGCTTTGCAATATTTTCACATCGATGACATTCTACTGCATATGAAGAGGAAGCCTGTCTGCTTTCCTATAATAACATGGACTTGCTTTCATCATGTTCACATACAGTGAAATCTGTCTGTCTCCAGCTTGGGAATCCGCCCCCTCCTTGGTCCAAAACATCCCATATCTGATGCTCTTCAGAGCATATTTTCCCACGAGGAGTGGCTAGGGAAGAATTGTAATGGCCAGGATGGGGATTGGGAGCGTCACCTGCATTCGGATGTATTTTTAAGTTATGCCAAGGGTGCCAAGAACATGTAGCTAGGTGTCCCCCTTTTTAGCATTTTTATAAACTCAAGTAAATAAAGAAAAGAAATGGCCTGACAGAGGACTTGCAAAACTCAGTTGCTTCCTAACAAAGTCAGGGCTGAGATCTTTGCCCATGAATCTGCCTCATAAATGGTGGTGTAGGGTTCTGTTTCCTTGTCCCGTCCTTTTCTTTCCTGGGGGATAAAAAGAATGCTGTTGAAGTCTCTCTGCACAGTTATGGTCATTTACCTTGACCTTGCAGCAAACAGAGGTATGCTTGTGGTTTTTAATTTTCAAGTGAAATTAGCGGTGCTGAAAGTTCCTGGCTTGATGGACCTAGAGACTCAAATCCTGTATTTATCCAGCAAACGGACTGACTATGGGCAGGGCACGTTTTCCCTAAACTGCCCCCACTATTGTACCCCTTACTTGGAGGGGGAAGAGGGCTCCATGGTCTGTAAAATCTCTGGCCTTACGGGTATCTATCTGCATCCCAACCCAGAACCCCCTTTTCTGTTGCCAAAGCTCTTAAGAAAGTAGTCATGGAGGTTCAGTAATTTCAAACAAGGTGTTTCAAGTTCTCTTACTCCAGCATGACACAGACTCAAGCAGTAAAAACTGCAGGGCTGTGTGACATGGTCAGTGCTCATCCTATTGCGAGTCACTCTGGTGTCGTGGTCTAGGTCACAGGCCTCCTCCATTGGGGTCTTTTGCTATCTCAGCATTCCATGGATGAGCTGAAGATGGACTCATTTCTCTGCAGCCTATAGTCAACAAGCTCCTGGGGCTCATTGAAACCTGCCATCATCTTGCCCCCGTGCCCGGAGATATTTGTGTTGTCCTTACGCTGCTGATGAAAGCTCCTTTTGAGGCGTCCTGTGAACAGTGTTTTTCCCATGCGTCCCACCACCTTTACTAAGAGCCGGGTTTTTAAAAGTATTTCAGCACCTAAAGATGCAAATAGCTGCTTATGGGGGATTTCAAAAGCACCTAGGCACCTAAATCCCACTGAAAACACTTGCATCTTTAAGCACCTAAATACCTTTAAAAAATCTGGTCTTTAGCCTCTATTCCCCATCTGTAAAATGAGGATAACAGCACTTCCCAGCCTCCCAGGATTGTATGAAGATAAATGCACTAAAAATTGTGAGGTACTCAGATCCCATAGTGATGAGGGCCATGTCAGGCCTTAAAACAGACAGATTGTGAAAATCTCACCCATAGTTCCTTATATTTTCACAGCACTGTACAAATATTAACTAATTGTGAAGCAAAAAACCCAAAGTCTCCACTCCCCAGATTTGCTACTACTGATGAAAACCACTATATACAAGCTAGGTATTATTGTGATTTGCAAGTTCTGATTTACGGTATTTTACGAAGAAACAAGAGTACATATCTACTTGTGTGGTGGTGTTATTCATTATTTGTATGATGATGGTGTGAACTGAAATCGGGGTCCCATTGTGCTCGGTGGTGTACAGACACCTAGTGAGAGACAGGTCCTGCCTGGCCAAATCTTGTTAGCACAACATTCCTGCTTACCTCTAGGATTAAAAATTTCAAATGGAGGGTTGAAAATTGACAAGTTCTAATATGTTCCCAGACATCTTCCTTTCTGTCCCACCTCTATGCCCTGTTGTGACTTGATTTCTCTCTGCTTTCTCAGTCGGACAATAGCCGTCTCCACAACCCAGTGTACGAACCCCAGAGGAGTAATGGCCTGAGTGACGAAACGACTGAGGAAGATGGTGGTGAGGGTGGGGAAAAGCCTCCAGGCGAGCCGGTCCGATTTGGATGGGTGAAAGGAGTGATGGTAAGGTTTTTTTGTTGCGTACAGACCAGAAGGAAGTGTAATGGGAGAGCTTGGGTCCTATGCTGGCAAAAATTCACGTATAGCCCGATCTTGCCACCTTCACTCTCCCCGAGTTGTAGATCACTCCTCAAGCCATTCCATTGACTTCAATGGAACCATGCACAGGGTAATGGCTTGGGTTTGAAAGTCAATGCAGAACTTTTCTTCTCCCTGGGTTCAATGTATAATCTAGCTTGTATTGGTGTGACAGATCGATGCAATCCTGATGCCTCATATGCCTAGTATAACCTGTTATATTAAGCCACATGATGGCCGGGAAGTTCAAACTTGACAAATGGCGGGTGCTGTAGGTAGGGAGGAAGGATGGTCCTGGGGCTAGGGGATCAGTCTAGGATCAATCTGGTTCAATCTTGTGTTCTGCTGCAGGCATTCTGTGTGTTACAGAGCCACCCCGTGCCTCAGTTTCTCACCTGTGAAATGGAGCTAATAGCACTTTACTTGCTGTGAGTTTAAGTACATTAAAGAGCGTGAGATGCTCGAACACTAGGGTGACAGGGCAAGTAGAAGACAGATTCAAAGGAAACATTTGAATAATTCTTGCACATGACTAGGTTCTAACCTGACTGCATCCACTGGGTGTCTTTGCAGCAAGCTCAGGGAGGTCTCTGCTCAAGGTGCCGAAAAAACAATCAAACAAATGGTTAGGAGGTGTAAAGAATGGGATGAGAAATCATACTGAAAATACGTTCATTTCATTATATGTCAATCAGATGCCCTGACCTGGAATACTGTTCAGTTCTGGTCACCCTATTTCAAGCAGCATTCAACAGAAAGAGTGAGGGGTGGGGCGGGTCAAAGACCGGTGATGAAATAATTAGGAGCATAAGAAGGCTTCCATATGAAGGGAGATTGAATTGGGTCTGTTATCTTAGCGATGAGACAGATCAGAGGGCTGTGATAAAAGTATACATAATAATGAATGGTCTAGAGATGGTAGATGAGACTTTTCTATTAACCCTTTCTAATAATTAAGGCTAGGTTTTAATCATGGGTACTTTTAGTGAAAGTCATGGATAGGTCATGGGCAGTAAACAAAAATTCACGGCCCATGATCTGTTCATGACTTTTACTATATACCCTTACTAAAACTTAGGGGAGGGGGTGGCTCAGGGGCGCAGCCTGGAGGGCACCATGGGTATTGGGGGGGTGCCATGGGTGCTGGGGGGGGTGCGGGTGCTCGGTGGGGGTGCAGCCTGGGGAAGCGCCGCGGGTGGTCAGGGGAGCTGCGGCCTGGGGGAGGTGCCAGGGGTTCTGGGGAAAGTGGGGCGCAGCCTGGGGGGACGTCTCAGGTGCTGGGGGGTAGCCTGGGGTGGTGCTGCAGGTGCTATGGGGGTGGGGTTGGCAGGGCTGGGGCAGGCTCCCTACCCAGCTCCTAGCTCCACATGCTGCCTCCGCTCCACCCCAAGCCCCGGTTCTTGAAGCTCCCATTGGCTGGGAACCGCGACCAATGGGAGCTGCGGGGGTGGTGTCTGTGGGCGGAGACAGCACGTGGAGCTGGGAGCTGAGGGAGGGGAGTTGCTGTCACCCTTCCAGGGAGCTCCCCCCAGGTAAGCACCGCCCTGCACCCCAATCCCCAGCCCTGAGCCCCCCCACACCCAAACTCCTGCTACGACTGGCCCAGGGGCTGCCCGAGCTGCTCAGGTGGCTTCCGGGCCAGCGGCACCAGGCTGCTGCAGAAGTCATGGAGGTCAGGGAATCTGTGACTTCCGTGACCTCCGTGACAAACTCGGAGCCTTACTAATAATACAAGAACAAAAGGAACATTCAGCAAAATGGAAAAGTGACATTCAAAAAACAATACAAATAAATGTTTTTTGTTTTTTTTTAAACACAGAATGCACAATGAGCCTGTGGAACTCATTGCCACAAGGTATCAGAGGTAGCGCCTCCAGGTAGAGAGGAAGGATGGTCCTGTGCTCAAGGCATTAGCCTGGCCCCTGAGAGACTCAGGTTCAATCCTCTGCCCCACCACAGACTTCCTGTGTGATTTTGGAGAAGTCACTTAGGCTACATCTACACCTCAAGCTAGGGGTGTGATTCCCCTGCTTGTGTACGTGTCTTTGCGCTAGCTCTCCTCAAGCTGGTGTGAGTATAAATAGCAGTGCAGCTGCGGTATCATGTGTGGTAGAGGCAGTGAAGACACGGAGGAGCCATGCCGAGTACAGACCGAGTACAGACCCACCAGCTTCAGGTTCATAGATTTCAAGACCAACTGGGGCCATTGTGCTCATATAGTCTGAACGCCTGTATAACAAAGGCCAAAGAACGTCTATAAAATAATTATAGAATCATAGAATATCAGGGTTGGAAGGGACCTCAGGAGGTTATCTAGTCCAACCCCCTGCTCAAAGCAGGACCAATCCCCAGACAGATCCCTAAATGGCCCCCTCCAGGATTGAATTTACAACCCTGAGTTTAGCAGGCCAATGCTCAAACCACTGAGCTATCCCTCCCCCAAAGGAACAGTGACCTGTTTCTGCCTGGTTTTGAACCAGTGACGTTTCGTGTGTTAGGTGAACATGATCACCACTACACTACAGGAACTTTTTTTTTTCTTCCCTACATCAGATATTTTAGAAAACACATCCAATCTTCATTTTAAAATGGCCAGTGAAGGAAAATCCACCAGGCCCCAAGTACATTGTTCCAACGATTAATGACCACCACTCTTAAAAACGTACGCCTTATTTCTCAGTCTGAATGCTTGGCTGGGTGGGTATGCGCTCTGCACAGCTCAGCTGTGTTGCCGCTACCAGGGCTACCGTGGCTACATTGCTACGTATACTCGAGCTTGCGTGAGGACGTGTGCGTGAGCAGGGAAGTCCCACCCCGAGCTTCATCTCTCTGTGCCTGTGTTCCCCAACTGTAACGGGCAGATAATAGCAATAGGCCTGGCCTACCTCAGAGCGGTGTTGTGAGAGTAAATATACTGAAAGATTGTGATGTGCTCAGCTATGGCCCCGGGGGTCACAGAACTACCGAACACAGACAGATCACTGAGGCCGAGAGTTTAGCAGGATTCCGAACAGTGTTGCCAAGTGGACAGGGCACTGGACTAGGATTCATGAGACCTGGGCTCCATTCCCGGCTTTGTTGCTGGGAGGCTGGGAGCAAGTCACGCCCCTGCCCTGTGCCTCAGTTTTCCCATCTGTAAAATGGGAGATGATGATCCTGGCCTTCTTTGCAAAACTCTTTGAGATCTACTGATGAAAAGTGCTAGATAAGAGCTAGACGTTGACATGGATAACACGGACACCACAGAGTTGCAATAGGAAGGATTAAAAAACTTCTAGAAGGGAAATGAAGCCTCACGCTTCAGGGCTTAAACCAGCCTCTGACTGATGAGGTTAGGAGGAAAACTTCCTGTGGGCAGGTCACTCCACTTCATGGGGCTCAAGCATTTGGCACTGGCCACTATTGCGGATCGGATATTGAACTTGAGAACCATGGGTCTGAGCTGGCAATTCTGCCGTTTCGCTATTCACGCGTACGGTCAACTGTGCAGATGATCACATGAGATTAACGTTGCTGTTTTCCTTCTAGATCCGATGCATGCTGAACATCTGGGGTGTGATTCTCTATTTGCGATTGCCCTGGATCACTGCACAGGCAGGAATTGGTAGGTGCAGCTCCATTCTCTATAGTTACCAGCAACAATGATAGTTTTTATATAATTTGTCTCATTGTAAGCCCTGACAGAGCGCTTGGCACTATTCAAGACACAATGAAAACAGTCTCTCCCTTCCCCGATATCCTTAGGCCCAATTTTTAAAGGTGTCCAGGGGTTGCTGCGCCCTCATTGCAAAGCCTAACTGATTTAGGAGCCTAAATCTCATTTTCTAACAGTATTTAGGCACTTAGGAGCCCAAATCCCATTGACTGAGGGATTTAGTTCCTAAATCTTTTTTGAAAATAAGACATAGACTCCTAAATGTGTTAGTTGTTGCAACACTTAGCTCAGCAACAACTAAATACTTTTAAAAATCTGGGCTTTGGTGTCTCTGGGGCAGCAATGGAGAAGATGGGGTAGGGATATAGACAGAGGCAGATGCAATATAGAAATTGGGCTCAGAAGAGGACAAGGTCCCTTATAGACATCCTGGAAGAAGTGGGTTGAGGGGAAGGGTGACTTTATGGATCAATGTACGGGGTGCCAAGGAAAAGGGTCAGAGACGGTGGTATTGCTTTCTTCACCAGGCAACAAAGTGCAACTAATTCCTCTTCTCTGCAGCGCTCACATGGCTGATTATCTTCATGTCTGTGACGGTGACGAGCATCACAGGCTTGTCCATCTCTGCCATCTCTACCAATGGCAAAGTGAAATCAGGTAGTGTTTGGCTCCCATTTTCCTTTTGAGGGCTCTCATCGCCCACCGTACACTCCCGCTCCCGCCGAGTCCCTCGCATTCTGGTACTTTACATACTGTGCTTGGATACAGCTCTGGTAAATGCCACTGAAAAGAGAGATGGAAAAGACCTCTTAGGCTATGTAGTGTCACCCTCATCTCTCTGCCCAGTACGGGACTATTCCCTATATAGTGCTTGATGCATCTCAAGAAAGTTTGGGGGCTCTGCTTACCAAAAGATTGAGCTTTCAGTAGGACCGTGGGCAAAATACCTGGATGTATTAATAGGGGAATATCGAGCAGGATCAGGGAGTAGATATTACCTCTGCATACATCAGAGGGGAGACCACTGCTGGAATACGATGTCCGGTTTTGATGTCCATACTCTCAAAAAGATGTTAAAAAACTGGAGAGGGCTCAGAGAAGAGCTTCAAGAATTCATTTGTGGGCTGCAAAACATGCCTTATAGTGAGAGACTTAAGGAGCTTGATCAATTTAGCTTATCAAAGAGGAGGTTAAAAGGTGATTTAATCATGGCCTATAAGTACTTACAGGGGAGAAGATATCTGACATGAGGGGGCTCTTTAGTCTAACAGGCGAAGGCATAACAACATCCCAGAACTGGAAGCTGAAGTCAGCAAAGCTCAAACTGGAAATAAGAGGCCACTTTTCAACAGTGATGGTGACTAACCATTAGAGCAGCTCACCAAGAGATGTGGTGGATTCTCCGTCACTTGGAATCTTTAAGTCAAAACTGGATGCCTTTCTAAAGGATACGCTGTAGTTCAACCACAAGTTACTGGGTTCAGGATTGATTCAGGAATCACTGGGTCAAACCAGGGGCGCAACCGGAATTTTCCTAAGGAGGGAGCTCTGGTTCCTTAATAAGTAGCAGAGGTCACGTTCCAAAAGGCATGCGTTCCCCCCTTCGCATTTCCAAGCACCACATATAGATCCTCACCAAGCCGCCATCTCTCCTTCTGGAGGCAGTGTGAGGAGATGAGGACTTGGGACCCTGGGAAGCCAGGAGCTGGGAATGGGGGCAATCTCTCTGGTGTGAGGGGAGAGGTCCTGGCTGGCCCTGGTCTCTCCTGTGAGAGGGGAGGGGGAAGAGGTCCCAGCTGGCACCAGTCTCTTTCGGCAGGCCCCGGAATCCCCAGACCCAGCTCCCTGCTTCCCAGAACTCTGGGCCGCCATCTCCTCAAGCTACCTCCTCCATCTCTTCTGCTTCCGGGCCCACTCTGGCAGGAGAGAGAGCAGCTCAGCAAGGACATTCCCATGACTTGTAGTGGAGTCTCTGGCCAAGGGGGGCAGTCCAGGCTGAACCTGAAATATGAATTCTCTGACGTGTTAAATAAAGGTTCAGTCTGTTTTTGTGTTATCAACACCTAATTCCCTCATGCCAATTTCTCAAGAGTTTGCTCTTGTCTAGTTCTAAGTCTCCCTTCAAACTCTTCCTTCTCCTAGGCAGGGATTCTTTAGGAGCACAAAAACAACAAGGAGTCCGGTGGCACCTTAAACTAACAGATTTATTTGGACATAAGCTTTCGTGGGTAAAAAACCTCACTTTTTCAGTGGCATCTGATTCAGTGGTTTTTTTACCCACGAAAGCTTATGCCCAAATAAATCTGTTAGTCTTTAAGGTGCCACCGGACTCCTTGTTGTTTTTGTTGATACAGACTAACACGGCTACCTGCTTAAGATAAAGGAAGCAAAGTACAGACAACGATTCATGGGACTCTGGGTAGCGGTATAGACCACCAAATCCTGAAGAGAAGGCGGGCAAGGGTCTTAGAACAAGGCAAGAATCAGGGGAAAACATAGATGCCAAGGCAAAGGCCGATATGCTTAATAGCTATTGGGCTTCAGTCCATAAAAAGGAATAATAGTTAATGTGGAAGTAAGACAAGGCAGGATCTGGGACGAGAACTGGTTAATCATCACTGGACTGTTTTCAGAGAAGCACACAATTAATGCTTTTTTAAATTAGAGATGGGCCTGACCCAAACCCCAGATCCAGACTTGCCTGAACTTTGATGTTCAGATCCTGATAAATGGCCTTGTAAAATGTTGAGCCTCTTTTCCTGTCTCCCTGTGTCATTGTCACTCACCACACATACAGTGCATGGATGTAGGTAGGTGTCTGCCACACAGGCCGTAGCGTCCTACTTGTCATTAGTTTGTGCGGAGGACAAAGAGTCATTAAGGGCATATTGTCTGGTTCGTGAATATCTGTGATCACCTCAGGTACTGCAATGTTGATCCTGCATGTGAAGTATTTAAACAATGGAATGTTTCTGGGATGTGTTAGGTGGCACCTATTTCCTTATCTCAAGAAGCCTCGGTCCAGAGCTGGGTGGTTCCATCGGTCTCATATTTGCCTTTGCGAATGCCGTGGCGGTGGCCATGCACACGGTGGGCTTTGCGGAAACTGTGCGCGATCTGCTCCAGGTAAGGAATCAGAGTTGTTTCATGGTGGCCACCCCCCCTCCCCCTCCTCCCCCCGATCTCATGCGCAAGGACTTGAACCATGTCAACATTTAAGTCCTTCTTAAAGGCCAACTTCTGCCATGCTGCCAACAGTGAACAGTTGTACAAAAAAATCTGTATTTGTTCTTTCTCTTTCCCCTCAACTTGTCTGTCATTAAACTTTTTGTTCTTTACATGCCATTGCGTGTGCATTAATTATAAGCAAATTAATAATCAATAGTTGACACATGATTGGTAATTAATCACCTATAGCCACTGATTAGTTATCAATACTCAAATCAATAACCAACAATTAATAATCAACAGCAATCAATAACCATGGAAATCATGCTAATTAGAGATGACAATGACCTAGTTGCTTTTCCACTCCACATGTTTCCCAGTTCAGGCTTGTTCCATACAGCCTGCTCCTGCCTGGTTTGAAACTGGAAATTGTTTTTTTAATTATTAATTTGTTTTAAAGATCATTTTAAAGCTGTTTATTTAGGAAGTATAAATAACTTTACAGATCCATACCATAAACACACCCAAAATGATACAGACCCATCCATTCATGCAGTGCTCTATGGAACTTGGGTAAGACGCAGCCTCGGCATTGAAGAACTCACACTCAATAGTATGGCCATAATGTTTTAATGTAAAATAAAAGTCTAGAAAAATGCCTGGCAGACCAGATTTAAGGTAACCGCCAACTGAAATGACTTAGCTGGTTGAATGTTGGTGCAAAAGAATGATGGTTTTATAGGCCCCTTCGTTCTCTATTGGTTTTTAATAAGAAGAGGCATTTAAAAGTACATCAAGACAGAGGGAAGTGAAGGAATCGGATGCTGTCTGTATGGTTAGGGTCAACTCTGCCATCAGCTTCCAGAACTGCAGACTGCTGACTTGGGCTTCCTTTCCCAGGAACATAACTCGCCCATTGTAGACCCCACAAATGACATCCGCATCATCGGGGTCATCACAGTGACAGTGCTACTTGGGATTTCCTTGGCCGGAATGGAGTGGGAAGCAAAGGTAACGGTCTCAATTGTTAGGATGAACCTAGGAATTTCCATACTACAACACATCCATGGTCCAGCTAGCCCAGTATCCTGCCTCCAACAGCAGCCAATACCAGTTGCTTCAGGGAATAGTGGAGCCATACCCTCCCTCCAATAATGCACCTAACTGCAAGGTTCTTACCACCAGGAAAATTCTTCCTGACCCTTCCTGATGATTGGTTTTTGCCCTGCAGCTTAAACATTGTCAGCCCAGATATAATTTTCTTCTGACTGTTGAAAGTGCAGAATCTGTTCTCATTCATACGAATATCCAAATCTCTCTTGAATCTTATCACCGCGTTTGCCTCAATGCTGTCCTTTGTCTGGCTCATTTGCTCAGATGCTGCTATTTGCCTCCTTTAACTAGCCACAGAAGTCTGCTGGCCAAGGAACAGACAAACACAGACTCCAGGTTTATGCTGCATCTTGTAATACAGGTCTAGCCAGACCTGATGCTTAGCTCAGCCTGTTAGGTTGGATGAGATCCATCTGTCCCCAAGTTTAGGAGGGGCGGGAAGCATGGTACGGAGGAGAGGTTGGGTCGCTCCTTTGCACCAACTAGCATTAGGGTATAAGCAGCATTGCAGCTTGGGAGGAATGCACAGGTTACTTACCCTGACCTACTCGTCACAAGGGCAGAATGTTGCTTCAGGGGGGCCTGTTTGCAGCTTCCCCGTTGGAAGATGGGTGAAACTTCCTTAGGAGTTGCCCGCCTGTACTTTTCACTCCTCCCCTTTGTACAGCGTTTGCAGCAGGTACTCAGCCAGCAGATTGTTCAGCTGGATTCTTTTGGTCTCTCAGGCACAGGTGCTGTTCTTCATAGTCATCATGATTTCCTTTGTAAATTACGTAGTGGGGACGGTGATTCCAGCCTCCGAGGAGAAGCAGGCAAAAGGCTTCTTCAGTTACCGAGGTAGGTTCCAGCGGTGGCTAAAGGCAGGAGTTTGGGGGGAACTCTTACTAATTCTCATGGATGGCTGGGAGAGCCGGCATGAATGACTGAGATTTGCAAATAAACAGTGAAAAGGGAAGACAAACACGTCCTCTAATGGAAGAGGAAGGATGGTTCAGTGGTTAGGGAGGCAGCCTGGGACTAGGGAGGCTCAGGTTCAAATTCTTGCTCGGCATCAGACTTCCTGTGTGATCTCATGCAACTTGTCTCTGTGCCTCAATCCCCACCTGTACAATGGGGATAATAGAACTTCCCTACCTCCCAGGGGGGTTGTGAGGACAAAGACATTAAAAGATTGTGAGGCATTTGGGTACTAAGGTGGTGGGGGGCAGATAAGCATATACGCTGGCTAGAATGCATTTTCAGTCAGTTTACTGTGTCAACTGGAGTTTAGTTCTAATGATTATGGTGGAATGGGAACAAAACCACAGTTAAGGTTGCACCAGAGTTTTCTGTTCCACAGGACTCTTAATTATGATAATGTGCGAGTAAATGTTCTCCGGTACATGTCACAAAACGAGGAAGACTTGGTGCTCGGAGATCTCACCATAATCTCCGCTGTTCCATTTCGGTGGAGAGGGCCTGGTTAGTTTTGTGTGGATTATATGGCTTTTGGATCATAGAATCATAGAATATCAGGGTTGGAAGGGATCTCAGGAGGTCATCTAGTCCAATCCCCTGCTCAAAGCAGGACCAATACCCTACTAAATCATCCCAGTCAGGGCTTTGTTCTACTGTACCAGCATGATTATGGTTTATTGACAAATGTAGGTGAATGCTCTAGTACAGTGCTGAACTGAACGTTTCCATACGGTCACTTTGTTCTCAAGGTCCTGGCAGTTAGTCGATAGTAGGGCAGCATGCAACAGAAATGTATCTTGTTCAGCTCTGTTACGTGCCTGCAAGGAAAACACCCTCTCATGTTAAGCGCCCGCTCTGGCCTGCTTGTTCGGAGTAAGAGCGGTGCGGTAACGACTAAGGCTTCCGGGGAGACAATGACACTTTCCTGGTTGATCATCTGAACATTTGCAAGATGCTGGAGGCCCATAAGGATCTACATCCAGGGACAGAGAGGTGAATGCTCCTGCAGTGTGGATGAGATGGACCCAGCCCGTGTGGCAGGGGACCCAGCCCAGTACGTGTTTCAGCCCAGGACTGTGCAAACCACTTTGGCTGAGTGAAGAGTGGGAGACCATTGGGACCCTAGAGTTTTTGTGGGTGCCATTTACCAAGCATGCAAGTACTGCATGAGCCTCATTTTCATAGGTGCTCAGCATTCACCGATCCCATTGATTTCACCCCTGGGGATAAAATATGCTGGCATTTGTCTTAATTACCATTTGCTCTTTGACATAAGAAGGATCAAAATGAATCGGCTGAACGTGGCTATTTGTCACTGTCACACAGAACGCCCATTTATTGCCAGGGAAAGGGCTTATCTCTGAGAGAGCTCGATGGATCAATGGATGAAACCATCGTGATAAGGCTGCGATGAAATGCTTCTCTTTCAGTTAGTGAGTTACGCCATTCCTGCTGGAATCATTCTAATCCCCTGGAGCAAAATCTCCAGACAGGCAGTGGCCGAATAATTTTTTATACCAAGAAGCATCTTTAATTTGGATTCCGCCCTGTCCACTTTAAGGCCCGACCCTATAACAGATTGAGGGGTAAAAATAGCAAACAAGAAATTAGCTCATGACGCATCCTTTCCCAGCCCTCCTTAGACTTTGTGTGGTCTGTGTAGACCTTGATTTCGCAATCAGATTGGCATGGACAGATCCATACACCTGAGCAGGAACCCAGGCCCAAATTTGTAAACGTATTTAGGCACTTTTGAAAATGGAATGTAACCCTCTAAATCACTTAGGCCTTGCTTTTAAATACCTTTAAAAAACTGGACATGTGTAGGCAAACCCACTGATCTGCTTGCAAAATCAGAGTCTTAGACTGTAAACCCGGATCTAACTTTATGACAAGAAAGCACCTAGCACGTTTTAGGGTGCCGTATAAATAACAGTAGAACGCTGCAAGGTTGCCCCCAATAGCAGTTTGAAACACTGCAGCTACTGTTTCAACCATTGCCTTTAAAATGAAAGAAACGTGATTAAAATGATCTAGTAGATTGATAGAAAAATATTTTTTTCCTCCAGCTGATATTTTTGCTCAGAACTTTGTGCCAAATTGGCGCGGACCAGATGGCACCTTCTTTGGTTTGTTTTCCATTTTCTTTCCATCAGCGACTGGCATCTTGGCTGGAGCCAACATTTCAGGTGATTTGAAGGTAGGTTTTTACCACTCCTGGCCAATACAGCATCATAAGGCAAGCGGCACAGGTTGTGTGCTATAGGCAGGAATGAAGTTGTGTTAATCAAGCTCTTTGTGTCAGAAACGGGCAAACTCCAGAGTCGGCAAAACTTCCTTGATTGGCTTTTGATTTTGTAAATCCAAGAGCAGGCCTGGTTTGGATCCAGGCAGCGGCGGCTCCAGGCACCAGCGCTCCAAGCCCGTGCGTGGGGCGGCAAGCCGCGGGGGGCGTCCTGCCGGTTCCTGCGAGGGCGGCAGTCAGGCTGCCTTCGGCGGCATGCCTGCGGGAGGTCCGCCGGTCCCACAGATTCGGCGGCGGGTACGCCGAAGCCACGGGACCGGCGGAACTCCCACAGGCACGCCGCCGAAGGCTGCCTGACTGCCGTGCTTGGGACGGCAAAAAAACTAGAGTCGCCCCTGGATCCAGGTCCCGCTTTACTTGGATAATTTTTTGGTCTATCTCTGTTTTAGAGCTGGCCAAAATATTTTTATTTTCAAAACATTTTATAAAATTTTGAAAGAACAGTAAAAATAATTAAAAAAAAACCCAGATGTTTTATTCGTTTTTTGAGCGGTGATGGAACTGGTTGTCGTTTTTAAAGTTTTAACACAGAAGTCCAAGAAATGTTCATGGATATATATGTTTTACTGCATTTCCAACTAGCTCTGCTCAGTAGGTTCTTAGATCCTGATCCTGCTCTATATTGGTGGCACCCATCACCCATATAGAGGCCCAGTTACATTAGCTCAGGGGTCCAATGCCCAAAGCCTCTTGCAGGATTGAGGCATTAGATTGCACAGTGATGGATGCACTACAAGACTCTACATAGAATAGAATTAATACTGGGCTACCTACATTTATTGCACAGGAACGGTTGAACTGATTTGGATAAATCAGTTTTCCAAGCAATAAATTGAACTATTTTTGAGGTTAGGGAAAGTTTGGTAAGCTTTGTTTCTTCAGTTCCACAGGACTCTGCCCTTCCTGTCTGGGGTATGAGTGCCAAAATCATGTGAGGAAGACTGTTCTTGCAGAAGTGTTGAGCTAGCTGCAAATTAGAAATGACTGGAAATCTCTCCCAAGAGCTTGGGCTCAGGAGAGTCCCAGCTCATTTTGCATCCCAAAGAAATGTCAGATAGTTTGGCTGTAAGCATCTGAATCGAATCAGTTATAGATGGGCCCAGCGTGCCGATTTGGACTGGCACGCCAAACACTCCGGAGTTTGGATCCAAGGGTTTGGGTTGCATGATACATGGAATCCCAGCCCTTCTGAAAGAGCTTATTAAAGACAAGACCAACAAACTATAGACACCAACAAACTATAGACACAAACAAACAGGCTTCTGCACAGCCCACCTCCCAACTTTGTCTTCCTTATTCACGAGGGATCACACCCTCCCTTGTAATGACATGTTTATAAAGTTCAAGTTTAGGGCCATTTCTGGCACCTTGGATTCTTATGAGGTTTGTCCAGCCTGACAGCTGGTTAGTTGATTTTATAGCTCCTATCTTGTCCCTGAGGCTTTACCTTACTTTAAACCTTAGTTCCTCCTGTACCACTGACACATTGGGCAGTCCGGTTCCTCTACTGATCAGAGTCACTCGCTAGTTGTGATACTTCTTCCCAGATGAGGCCAGTGCATGCGATATCCTCTGTCACTGTCACTTTAATTAAATGTAGATTAAAACAACATTCCGTGCGACACACTCTGAGATTTCCAACACACCAGCCCATCAATCCCACTTCACCTCCAAACATCTAGCACCGAAAGTGGGCTTTGCAGAGTGCCCAGCAGGTTAAGAAATCCAGACTCTGGACAGTGCAGGTATCAGGTTGAAAGCTGTCGTGCGGTTTTTGAGTATCTCGGAGTGTTTTCTCTTCTTTATAGCTACAAAAATGAAAGGTAATTTTGTGGTGCCTATGGAATGCTGCTGTGTAACTGTGTGGTTGCCTTGCTTAGGATCCAGCCATAGCCATTCCCAAAGGCACGCTGATGGCTATATTCTGGACTACAATATCCTATCTGGCTATTTCTGCTTCAATTGGTAAGTAACATGCATAGACTTAATCAGTGGCAGTGGTGGGGAAGTGACATATGATGAAATGTCCATGGTTAATTACATGCTTTCATGTTCATTAGGGACGGGGCAATTCCCAGTTATCAGGAATCCTGGGACACAGGGCACTTTGATTCAGTCTGGCTCAGATATCCATTCTGATTCTGGGTACCAGCAGGGGTACAGAGTAGAGGGGAGTTAAACAGTCAAAAAACAGACTAATAAAATTATAGTTTGATGATTTTTAAAAAAAATCTCATGATTTTTTGAGATCTGACTCAGGAATTTTGACCTCTTGAGGTTGGCAACACTGTAAGTGTCTCCAAAGAATTCAACCCAGGTTTGACAGTGGGCCCAGTATGTACTATCCATGGCACGGAACCATGGGAGCTTTAGTTAGCGCTGGGTGGATGCCTGTGCAGCGTGGACATGTCTGATACAGCTGAAAGTTACTTTAAAAACAAAACCTAGTACAAGTTAATTTCAGGAGCAGCCAGAAACTTGGGACACTGGGCAAAATGAATGGGCAGTCTGTGATAGCCGCCATCTTGGTTGGCACATTGGAGATTGGAGGCCGCTGGTTCAGAGGGGAACGCATAAGCGGATACAGCTTGAGCTAAAGCTCTCTAAATGGAGACTGTGACAGACTTATCTCCTCTGTGGATCAGGCACCTGTAAGACACACTCAATAGTGGGTTACAATTACACAGGGACCTTTGTTAAAGCACATCTGGGCATCATGCATCGTATTGGAAAAGACAGATGGGAAGTGAATGGGAACTGCTTCCTCCTAGGTGCCTGTGTGGTACGTGATGCCTCTGGGAGCCTGAATGACTCCATCCCTGCTGGCTCTCCGGGCTGCGAAGGACTTGCTTGTGACTACGGGTGGAACTTCACGGACTGTGCTCAGAAACAGAGCTGTCACTATGGACTCAGCAATTATTACCAGGTACTGTCACTCTGGTGCTCTCCGCAGTGTGGCTTAGAAGGCTCAAGCTGGGTTGGTCACTTTGGCCTAGGGTGCGGGAAATCATAAGATATCCATTAATGATCTGAAGGATGGTGTGAATTGCACCCTCAGCAAGTTTGCAGATGACACTAAACTGGGAGGAGTGGTAGATACGCTGGAGGGTAGGGATAGGATACAGAGGGACCTAGACAAATTAGAGGATTGGGCCAAAAGAACAAGGACAAGTGCAGAGTCCTGCACTTAGGACAGAAGAATCCCATGCACTGCTACAGACTAGGGACCGAGTGGCTAGGCAGCAGTTCTGCAGAAAAGGACCTAGGGGTTACAGTGGACGAGAAGCTGGATATGAGTCAACAGTGTGCCCTTGTTGCCAAGAAGGCTAATGGCATTTTGGGCTGTATTAGTAGGGGCATTGCCAGCAGATCAAGGGATGTGATCATTCTCCTCTATTCGGCATTGGTGGGGCGTCATCTGGAGTACTGTGTCCAGTTTTGGGCCCCACATTACAAGAAGGATGTGGAAAAATTGGAGAGTCCAGTGGAGGGCAACAAAAACTATTAGGGGGCTAGAGCACATGACTTATGAGGAGAGGCTGAGGGAACTGGGCTTGTTTAGTCTACAGAAGAGAAGAGTGAGGGGGGATTTGATAACAGCTTTCAACTACCTAAAAGGGGGTTCCAAAGAGGATGGATCTAGGCTGTTCTCAGTAGTGGCAGATGACAGAACAAGGAGCAATGGTCTCAAGTTGCAGTGGGCGAGGTTTAGGTTGGATATTAAGAAAAACTTTTTCACTAGGAGGGTGGTGAAGCACTGGAATGGGTTCCCTAGGGAGATGGTGGAATCTCCTTCCGCAGAGATTTTTAAGGCTCGGCTTGACAAAGCCCTGTCTGGGATGATTTAGTTGGTGTTGGTCCTGCTTTGAGCAGGGAGTTGGACTAGATGACCTCCTGAGGTCTCTCCCTGCCCTGATATTCTATGATTCTATTATAAGATTTCCATGGCTGGTGGTTCTCACCCTCTTCCTGCCCCAGTTCCTTTGCTGTACTCAGTTAGGTCTGCATTAGCGCCCCTCAGAGCGGAAATATTAGCCACACCCCAATGCAGCCAGTAGCCACTGAGGGTGATAGGACAGTTACCTGAATTGCTGCTTTCTCTCTTTTAAAAAAGTAACTTGCAACAAATGAGGAAAGGGTCCTACAGATAATGGGCTCTTTCTCCACGCCACCCTGATTCATTCCCAGAGCATCCTGTGACATGAACAAGGTGGGGCTCTGTGGGGGAAAAATAGCATGTGACCGTGTAATTAACGACTGTATTATAATGCATATGCACTAGAGGGCTGAGTTAAGGTTGCACAGGCAGCCTGAATACTGGCACTTCCTACCTTCTGAGTGCTTGACTTTGCAATCTTATTAAGGTTCTTTTGGCGTAGGGTGTTTTTGGCTGTAATAAGCTGTGCTCTGAGGAGCTCTGAGTGGTGGCTGTCAGAGTCTGAAGCTTCCAGGGGGAGGAGCCCAGGCTCTTAGATCACTCCAGCATCACCCTCGCCTATCTCCTCCTGTTTTTTCTGTAGAGTATGAGCATGGTATCTGGATTTGCCCCCCTGATCACGGCTGGAATCTTCGGGGCCACCCTCTCTTCTGCTTTGGCCTGCCTGGTCTCAGCACCCAAAGTCTTCCAGGTGAGATAGTGGCATGCTCAGGGGACCACGAAAACATCTGCAGTGTTGTCTTTCGTGTATACAGTAAACATGAGTCCACAGCAAGCTAGCAGGTCACTGGCATTTCAGAGCCGTAATTACAGGCCGAGTCTCCACCACGCGTAGGCACTGTGAGTTCTATAACAAGCTGAATAACCACCGTGGTTGGGCCTCACAATGCATCACTGGTAGGGTGACCAGATAGCAACCGTGAAAAAACAGGACGGGGGTGGGGGGCAATAGGCGCCTATATAAGAAAAAGTCCCCAAAACGGGACTGTCCCTATAAAAACCGGACATCTGGTCACCCTAATCACTGGGAATTACCAGCTTTCTGGACAGAGTCTTTAATCTGATACTCTTGATGCTTCTGGGGTTTTTGCCTGGAGCTTTGTTCCACCTGATCCCATCATGCAGTGCAGCCCACGAGCTGGGGGATATGCAGGTTGCTACTTTTTCATGCTGGCCCCTTGGCTTTGCTCCTAGTGGCTAATCCTAATGGGACAGATTCTGTCCTCAGTCACTCCCACGCAGCTTCTTTCCTTTCAGTGGGCTTGTGAGAGTAGCAAGGAGGCAGAATATGGCCCATTGCTTTTGTTCATGTTATGAATTAAGATAATTAAGGTGACATCTCCTGCCCTTTCCATAGGGCCAGCCGTGGTGGCAATGCCCCATCGGGTAGGGTTGTTACCACTGATATTGGGATGCAAGTCAGAGTTATTACAGTTAGCGTTTCCAAAGCGAAGGGGACCTGATAGCAGGAACGGGCAAACTGGTTCTAAAAATATATCAGCCCTCTAGGGCAGTGTTTCTCAAACTGGGGTCGCCGCTTGTGTAGGGAAAGTCCCTGGCGGGCCGGGCCGGTTTGTTTACCTGCCCCGTCCGCAGGTCTGGCCAATCACGGTTCCCACTGGCCGCGGTTTGCCGCTGCAGGCCAATGGGAGCTGCTGGAAGCGGCGGC